ACTTAATAAGAAAAAAAATCCAGTGCTGAGGTGGCTAAGATCTATGGTAAGAACGAATTTCCTATCCATGAAATTGTGAAGAAGGAAAAAGAAATTAACTTTGTTTTGCTGTTGCCCCTCAAACTGCAAAAGTGGTGGCCATGGTGTATAAGTGTAGTTAAGATGGAAGAGGTCTTACATTTGTGGGTAGAACACAGGAACAGAAACGTGTTCTGACTGATGGACAGGTGTTGTGTCAAAAATCATTAAGCTACACGAAGACTTCAGCAAGGGATTCCCTAAACAAGTGACACCAAGCCATTTACTGAAAGTAAGGGATGGTTCCCAGATGCAGGAGCGTTTGCACTCACTCATAAGCTCTTTCCCAGGTCCTCCTCTGAGAGCTCTGATTGGTGGGTACATGACATTTTTGGTCATATTACTCTCTGATTTTTCTATATATATCCTTCATATATATAATATTTTCTCTCTCTCTCTCTCTCACACACACACATTCTGTCTCTCTCTTACACACACACACACAGTCAATCCCCCGAAAAATTAAATGGAAAATTCCATAAATAATTTATAAATTTTAAATTGTGCAACATCCTGAGTAGCATGATGCAATCTGGCACTGCAGATATATGTAGGAGGTATACCTCTATCTCTATCTATCTATCTATCGATATATACAGGGCTGCAGATATATAACTCCTGCAGGGATTGTTTTGCCATGAAAAGTTCATTTTAAAAATATAGCCAAATCTACCATATTTTTAAAAACTGAGTTTTGAAACATAGAAATCCATTCCTTGTACCCAAGTTAAAGAGAAATTCACCCCAATTTTTTTTCAGTACCTGTATAATTTCATTACTCAAATTTAGATGCCTGATCCATTTGGCATTTATTCTTTTGCATAGTGTGACATATTAGTCAAACTTTTGTCTTTTTCCAAATGGTTAATAGATATATTTGGGTCAGGGACTCACTCTGTCACTCAGGCTGGAGTGCAGTGGCATAATCACCACTTGCTGCAGTCTTGACCGCCTGGGCTCAGGGGGTCCTTCCACCTCTGCCTACCAAAGAGCTGAGTCTCCAGGCGTATGACACTATGCCTGCTTAATTTTTAAATTTTTTTTTTATAGAGACAAGGTCTCTCTCTGTTGCTGAAGCCGGTCTCGAACCCCTGGCCTCAAGAAATCCTCTTGCCTTAGCCTTCCAAAATGCTGGGATTATAGACATGAGCCACCATGCCTGGCTAGTTTTCTATTTTTATATTTTTTAAAACCCTGAGAATTAAAGCAAGTTTCCCTACTCTCAGAACCAGTTTAAAACCCATCCAATTAATCAACAACTGCCTCAGTTAAACTTGTTTTGAAAAGTCCCTTCTTTCTGAAAATCATTAATCATAGATTTGCTACGGTAAATTCAGTGGTGAATTTACAAGTCTTACCAGAATAAACACTCTTCTACAGATGATATCAAATCCTTTTGCTTTTGAAATGCACCTACCGCTAAACTCCATACTTCTCCAAACCCCACAGAGCATGAATAGACCGCTTAGCTTGTGGAGACTGTACCCACCCAGCAGAGTCCTTCCTTTAAATAAAGAATACAAGAAATCCAGTTTTGTTTTTAGTTCACATATGGAATGGTTGTCTCATCATCCGTTGACACACCAACCCCAAAACTAACCAAGAAGATCATTTTGATTGCAGTGTGGGCAAAATATAGAAATGCAACAGTGGATTTGCAGAGGCCACTTGAGGCTGTTGAAAACTTTGTGTGATGACAAAACCCTGGGGGGGGAGGGAAAGAAATTTGGCACTGTAAACTGGCCAGGTGTGGTGGTTCATGCCTGTAATCCCAGCACTTTGGGAGGCCAAGGTGGGAGGATTGCTTGAGTCTGGGAATTCAAGACCAGCCTGGGCAACACAGCGAGACCTCGTCTCCACAAAAAAAAAAAAAAAAAAAAAAATTGTTGTCATGATGGCATGCACCTGTAGTCCCAGGTACTCAGGAGGCTGAGGCAGAAGGATTGCCTGAGTTCAGGAAGTTGAGTCTGTGGTGACCTATGCCTGGTGAAAGAGACTCTGACAATAACAAACAAACAAACTACATGAAAAAAATACCATAAACAGAGTCAAAAGAAACATTTTCAACTCAAGCAGCAACAAAGGACCAATTTCATCAATAAGTAAATAATCCAATAACTCATCTGGAAAAATGAGCAAAGGATATGAAGAGATTCCTAGAAAAGAAAATACAAATGACTATTTTTTTAAAAGTTCATCCTTCCTCAGTATAACATAAAGAGATATTGAGACTATGCTCTGCTAGCCATTTTTCGTTGATAATATTTGCAAAGACCAAATATCTAGAAACAAGCTTGATTAGAGATGGTATGGCAAACCGGTAGTTTCCAAGAGTGCACTCAAGGATACTCTCCAGGCTACATTGTTGAATTGAAAGAAAAACAGAACTATGTGCAGTAACTCTAGAAGGATACAAAATCATCTGGTAATGATGATTATTTCCCAAGAGTACTACGGTTAGGGGGCAGAAGACACTTGCTTTGAACTTTATTCTCTTTAGTTCTGTTTGAATGGTCATACCAGGCATATGTATTTATAATAAAAAATATGTAAAATAAAAGAAAAATGTAGTCTGTTGCAGTTGTCTGGGCACTATCTTTCTGGTAAGATGAGTAGTGATGGAGAGGACATGTTTTGGAGGAGAGTTGACAAAACGTGCTGATGGAGTAGATGTGGGAGAGGAGTAAGCAAGCCATCAAAGATGACTGCTAGACTTGTGGCTAGCAACGTGTGGCTAGAGATGTGCCATTTACTTTGCTGGGGAGCATTTGGGAGGAACAGGTATAGCGTGGGTGAGAGAATTCAAGGATTCAGTTTTGGATATATTAAGTTTGTGATGTATTAGTCATATACAAGATATGTCAAACTGGCAGTTGGAATAGGAGTCTTATCGCTCAAGGAAGTAGTCTGGAATGGATGTATCTTGGAGGCAACAGCATAAAAATCAGCACTAATAAATATAACAAATACAAATACAATGTAAACCACATGTAACATTTTCTAATAGTCACATAAAAAGTAAAAGACAGGTCAAATCCATTTTAATACATGTTATTTATTGAACATTTTTAATTTTTTCATACACATCTTTGAAATGTGGCCAGGCATGATGGATCATACCTGGAATCCCAGGATTCTGGGAGGCAGAGGATAGAGAACTGTTTGGGCCATGGAGTTTGAGACCAGCCTAGGCAACCCAGTAAGAACTCATCTCTACAAACAAAAAAAAAAATTAGCTGGACATGGTTGTGCACGTCTGTAGTTCCAACTACTCAGGAGGCTGAGGTGGAAGGATTGCTTGAGCCCAGGAAATTGAGGCTGTGGTGAACCGTGATTGTGCTACTGCATTGCAGCCTGGGTGACAGAGTGAGACTGTATCTCAAAAAAAAAAAAAAAAAAAAGTCTTCAAAATCTGGTGTTTTACACTTACTACATATCTAATTTCCAACTAGCCACATTTCAAGTGCTCAACAGCCACACGTGGTGAGTGGACAGCTACTGAACAGTACAGTGAGGATATTTAAAGCTATGGGACCAGACAAGTGGACCAGACAAGTGACCTAGGCTCAGTACTGGGTCTTGGAGTACTGAATGTCTAGAGTTTGCATAGAAGAGGAGGAGCTTACAAATGACACAGCCCAGTAAACAGGGAAGAAAACAAGGCAAGTACAGTGTCAAGAAGGTTTAAAAGGAGGGGGCGTTCAATTGCATCAGTTGATGCCAAAAAATGGTATTTACAAAGTAATTCCCATTATATCTCCTAAATAATTACTGATTCTTGGTGCCATCTGTCTTTTTCCCTCTCTCTTTTTTACTGGTAATAGGCCCTTGATATCTCTAATCTCTACTACTGTAGCATATTCCTAATTCTCAGTTATTCAGCCTCCAGTCTTGCCGCCCTCAAAATTCTATTGGCAAAGCCTGGGGAGACCTAGAAAATGGAGACGCTGCTTTGTTGCCTGATATGAAAATTAAAAAACACAAAGTTTCCAGTCTTGCTACTCTGTTCGAAATTCTTGCATTCTCCTCATGGAACAGGTTTAGTGTTTTACTCTTTAGTGTCTTCTCTCTCATTCCCAGATCAATACAAACGTACACACTCAGCTCTGTTTCAAGCTTATGTCTCTGTTATCCTTCCTAACAGTCCGCCCTCCAGCCAACCGGTTCAAACAGGCACATTACCTGGTTCATTCCAGTCTGGTTATCAACTTCAGGGAGCTTCAGTGCCCCTCATTCCCTTACCCCTAAAGCTGATTAAGCTGTGCACCTGTTCTCCCTTTCCCAAACGTCCTTCCCAAGCATTTCTATGGAATCCAGCGCCAATTTCTGCTGCTGTTCTCGCTTCATCCATCCATCCATCCATCCATCCATCCATCCATCCATCCACCCACCCGCGTTTTAAGTACGAATTTCTGTCGCGCTCTCCAACTAAATCCTGAAATCTGAGGCTAGAGAGCTCACGCCATTTTGTATTCCCAGTACCTGGCACCTGGCAGGACACATCAGCAGGTGCCCGATCAAGCTTAGAGGTATTGAGAGGAGTTTAGGAAGCTGGGAGAGCGGAGCTGGGAAGCAAGGGGCAGCGCGCGTTCTGGGATCCCCGGCGCAGGGCGGTCACTGAGTCTGGTGTGGAGCCGAGAGGGAGGCAGCACTTTCTCCCGCTCCCTGACTCAGAAGTGGGTGTATGTGTCAGCAGGGCAGGAAATTAAGGACAGTACGGGAAACGGAGCAAGGCTGTGTTGGCGTCCAATGGACCGAGACCCCATCCACACAGCCGCGCAAGCAGAACACCCACAGCCCATACTTTCCGGGCCGCCCCACCTCGGTGCTCGCGGTCGTCACGTGAGCGTGGCCCCACGTGATCCGCCTGCGACACGTGAATGCCCCTGTCACGTGATTGCGGACTCCGCCGGGCTCTGACAGCGCTGCTTCCTGAGTGATCCCGGAGTTGCTGCCGCTCTCGCCTCCAGTTTCCCGCAGGCGACATGGAGGAGGAGGATGAGGAGGCGCGGGCGCTGCTGCCCGGCGGCTCCAACGAGGCGGGCAGAGGAACTCCTGCCGCCCCCCGCGCTCTGCCAGCCCTGTGCGACCCCAGTCACCTGGCGCACCGGCTCGTGGTGCTGCTGCTGATGTGCTTCCTCGGCTTCGGTGAGCCGCCGGGCGGGGCGGGCTCAGCCGCCAGCGACCTGCGACTTTCTCTCCGCGTTGCGTCCTCCTCACGCGTCCGGGTGTCCCTGGGACTCTGCGCGGTTTTTGGCCAGCTCCTTCCTGGGCCTCCTCGTTTTTCCCGCTATGGCCCCATCCAGGCCGGTGGACGTGGCTGGTTATTCCAAGTCCCGAATGTGGAGGTCAGGGGTTTGAGCCGAGAGAGATTTGCCCCGCCCCTTTGCTCCCCAGGAAGTCCCAGGGGCTGGCAACTCTCTCTCTAGCTAGATATTCAAGTTTCCCGTTTTGGCACGCTGTGTTCAGAAGAAAGTTAGAAAGCCATAGCGACTCCTACACCGCAAAGCGACCTCCTGTTTTTTTTTTTTTTTTTTGTTGGGGTCTCACTCTGTTACCCAGACTGGAGTGCAGGG